ATTGCATAATGTGGAATTAAGGCCAAGCCAATTGCACTGTTATCCTGAAAGAAGGCAGAGCTTGTCCCTTGCAGAATACTGTTATCTGCACATGGGACTGGACTGGCTCACTCTGCAAAGGAAACAGGCTGTCCAGAGAAAGGGCTGGTTCTTCCCATTAGGGGCTGTTATCTGGGCAATTACGTCGATAGATAGGGCCTCCTCCACACTGAGCATGATTTCTGGATGCAGGACTAGCTCAGCTTAGAACATGTTTGTTCTGAATCATTTTTAAAGAGCAAGCCAATGCTGCAGTATATTGCATAATGGCTTTTTAAACAGTATCTTTCTTGTGAAATAGTAGAACCATGCTTTCATCTGGGAAGCAAGAAAAAGATGAAGAGATGATAGGGGATTTACTGTTTTAAATAAAATAACATCTTACTATACTCTTCTTCCTTAAGAAAGAGGGCTCTTTGCAATGCTGTATTTAAAAGTTCTGCTCCCCTTGATTACTTATTGCAGGGATTTTTCCATTGTTTACCAACATAACTAATATTTTCTCCCCACCCCATTCCCCAGTCCCCACTGAGGACCGTACAGGTTGTGCCTGCTACACTGCTCCAGCAGACCCAGGAAGTATCTCTCAGATAGGAATCCTGTGAAATTGCCAGGCGTAGCAACTGTCATTGCTCCAGCAGCTCTGGCCACCACCCTGTTGTCTTTCTTGATAGCGGAGCCAATTCTCGCAAGCCAGACTTGGGGAACAGCACCCTCTAGTGACTGATGAGTAGAAGACATCAGGCAGGAGGATACTTTTTGTTAGACATGAAGCTGTGGCCCCGGACAGCTTCTGAAGCATCACAGGTTGTTCCAGGTTCCCAAACCAGCACTTGGAGACAGTGCTCTGACCACAGAGCTGCAAATTAGCACTCTGACAACCTTGCAGCCAGCATGCGAGCATTGCATCAGTCACGCTCAAGGTCAGAAAAGCAACCTCTGGGAGAGGAAAATGGTGGGGGTCTAGTGGGCTGGGAGGACTCTAGAGAGGCAAGGGTATGAGCTATCCTGAAGCCTCTCTAGCCTCTTTCCCTCCCCTTCCAAAATTTTCTTGCTAGGTGCACAAAAAAGCCTGTATAGAGAAATATAGACTGAAGAGGACAGGGAAGTGAAGACCACCTCTGCTGTTCTATTTCAAAGCAATACTTATGCAAAATCCAATATAGCTGGATGCTCTGCACGCAGTATTATTCTTCGATGCCCATTCCTTACAACCCCAGGAACAATCCTCATAGATTTCTGGGCTGTCTCTAATATTTTAGACTATTACTTATTAACCCTCTGTTTTTCACCAGAGCTGTGCTTTACAGTTTGCACTGTGATTCTCTTCATGTTGGCCCATTTTACTCATAGGACACGGAAGCAAAGACATAATGCTGCCAGGTCAGCATTAAACAGATCAAATGCTGTTCTTTGGAATTATTTTATTTTATTTTGGTCAACTGGGTACTCTAGAGCAACTGGTGAGATTCTAAGCTGGATCATGTTTCTGTTTCATGGATGGAGAACTGAGGAAGACTGATATGCACAAGGGTAACAATTCCTGTCATTCTTTAAGTCCCAAATGTATCAGGGGCAGGGAAGGCAAACTTCTGTGTTCAGGGGCTTATGAGCATTGCAAGAGGTTGTGTCCAAAACTGCTGTGCTGAACAAAATGAATAAAAGATTTTTAAAAACATAGTATTGCATCTAATGGAATGGGTGGATTCTCAACATTTTCAGCTATGTATGGATAATAGCTCAATGAGGTCATAATTCTGATTATTAAATGTTTAGGAGGATGAATAGTTGTTTTATCAATAGATGTTACATTTAGTGCAACAACTAAATTCATTCAAATTAATCACTTAACATGCAGAGCAATCCCATGGCCACTAAACTGAATCTAGATGGCCGTAGAATGGCTTGAGGTCAGAAAAATGCTTCAGCCTCACAGCTGGCTGAGTGCCCTGCCACCTGCGTCCCTGCAGGTATCACTGATCTGAGATAGCAGTAGCAATTCATCTACTGGTGGTTCCTCCAAGCTCTCTCCTCACCTGAGAGCTATACAGGAAACCTCGGCTGGCTGAAGACTTTTGATCCCTGTTATAGGATTCAAAGGCAAGCACATAGGCAAAAGTTAGCAATGATAATCCATGCTCTGGTAACCTATTGTAATGTGCACTGCATGGGGCTGCCTTGGAAACAGTCTGGAGACTTCAGTTGCTACAAAATAGGGCAGCCCCTCTGTTGACAGGGATGGGCAGGTATGAACATATAAGTCCTCTTCTTTGTCAGCTACATTGGCCCACTTCAAGGTGCTTACACTTGATCCGTTACCAATTGGCCCGCTTCAAGAGGCTTATGCTAATCTATACAGCCCTAAATGGCTTAGGGCTTGGATAGCTAAAGAAGTACCTCTTTCCATATCCACCTTCCTGGACCCTAAGGTGAACTACAGAGGTCCTTCTCCAGGAGCCACCTTTAAAAGAAGTAAGGAAGGTGGCCACAAGGGGAAGAACTTTCTCAGCAGCAGCAGCAGCAGCAGCAGCACCCTGGTTATGAAGTCATCTCTGCAGGGAGGTGTGTTTGGCACCGACTCTTTATATATTTTGGTGCCTGGTCAAACCCTTCTTATTTTCCTGGCATTCTAATTGTTAAATAATGTCATCCAATGTTATATTGGCTTTATCTGTATGGTCACTGGCATTCTGTGATTGGTTTTAGTTTTAGTCTTGTATTACATATTATTGTCATTGTTGGTGGATGTTATGCCCCAATGAATGTTATTGTTGTGCTGATAATGCATGTATATTTGTTTTTGTTTTTAATTGGAACTAAAATTAATTGTTTTTAACTGTTTGAATTCTTGAGCACCATTCTGAGAGCTGTTGCTAACTGAATAGTTTATAAAAACTTTAAATATGTAGTGCAGGAAATTCAGATCTACAGCATCCTTGCTAGGAACTCCTCCTCCAAGGAAGGGTAGTGGATAGCAACAGTGATGGCTCTCCATTTATGGAATGATCCTGACAAGGCTTGCCTGTTTTGTTACCTTTTTGGCACCAAATTCCCTTTTCTCTCAGGCATCTGGCAGCCTAAGACATTTTAATCAGGGTCTGGATTTTTCTACTTACTGTTCTTCTATGTGTGTTGCTTACTTAAAAGTATCTGCTTTTTAAAACAATGTATTTTAAGCCTTAATGTTTGCAAGCTATTCAGACTGCTTTGGATACTGATAATAAACAAATGTACTAAAGGAAATATGAAATCCCTTTAAGAGTGTGAAGAATACTATCATGTCCCCTCCTTTTCACTCTTCTTATCTCCAGGCTAAATATACCTAGTTATTCATCAGCAGACTGTAGTTTGTTTAAAATAATTTTGAATACAAAGTTAAAAGACAGTGCCTGTCATTTGCAGTTTTATGACAAGCAGCCAAGATCCTAAAAATGATATATTTTTGTATTCAGAGTGATTTAAACCCGTATTGGTCAGCAGATTTTGAAACTGAGAGCATCCTTTTAGTGAGCTATATTGTTCTACTTGATTAATCTACTTGATAGCATTAGATTACAAACTGTGAGAGGGAAGGGGGAAATATTCTATAATGCTGGAATGTTTTTAAAAAGATGGCCATCTATCAGCAATGCTATTGCTGCATTCTGCAGTCCAGAGTCTGTATCAAACAGGATTGGCCTAGAATAGTAGATAGAGGTCCCTTCAAATTTTATGATTCAGCAATGATCATTATTATGGTTAACACTCATAAAGTGCTGTGCACATACTAAATTTAAGATAGATTGTGAATCATTCAGATAGACACTAACAGTCAAACTAAAAAAAGGAGAAAAGAACAAAGAAGGAAAACAAGCATAGGGCCTCTACACCTTCACTAAGAGGGATGAGACCAGCTTGTTCCTCCCCTGGCCATGCTGTTCTTCCTGAGAGGAGGAGTGGCAGTTTCCCGTAGCCCTTTTGTCTCCTTGCTGGTGGTAGAGGCCACTGCCTCCCTTCAGCAATGCCTCTTTGCCGTTTCTGACACATGCTTTAAAACAAAAAAAGCAGAATTTATTTCTCTTTCGTGCAACTGAATGATCATTAATCATTGCCTGCAAAATCCTATCCATGTTTAGACAGAAAAAAGTTCTGCAACTCTTGAGGGTACGTCTTAACAGAAGTAAATCCCACCATGCTCGGTGGGGCTCATTCCTTCTAAGGAAGTACTTCTGAGTATGTCTGTCCAGAACTGTGTTGTAAATCAATTACATCAATTGTCCACAGAACCGATCGTATATTCACTTTCCTAGTACTAAGCCCCCCAATGGGGTTTATTGCTGAAGTAGGATGTATGAGATTGCCTTGTAAACCATTTCGGGCACATCGTGCTTGCGAAGATCGAGTTTGCAAAAACCTTTGCAAGCAAATCCAATGCGAGTTTACTCAGAAGTAAATCCCACTGTGCTCAATGGGACTTACTCTTCGGTAAGTAAGTACGGAATTGTCATCTCCGTCACTCCAGATAAACTCTTTTTTTAAAGCGACTGCGCTTTCTTTCTCCACAAACAAATTCCTAACACTTGATCGCCGAAGCTACACTCTGGTTTTTGCTTATTTCACATTTTTAACCCTCTCTCAAGCTGTCTTAGCCACTCAGCCAGACCAGGACAATTTTTCTACCTCCCGTGTCGTTTTTTTCCCAAATTTTGCTCTACTGAAGCTATTCTTGCATATCTCTCTGGACGGCTTCTCAAGGCAGTACACGGTTGGTGAGAAGCAACATCGCCTTATTCCCGAACGTGACGCTCCTTCGATCTCTTTTCCGCCATTAGTTAGATTTCATTGGGGAAGACGTGGCAATCGCGAGCAGCTATTGGCTGAAAGTTGCAAGGTCAGCCCTCATGCCTTGTCTTCTGCTGTTTACTTCCGCATACAGAGCCGGGCAAATCGACAGGCTCTTATCGGCAAGGCGGGCCCATCCCACTTCGACAGGCGCCCGACTCGGTGCTGTCTTTCAAGCAGACCGACCCGGGCGAGCGGCTGGAAGGGTGGTCCTGAGTGTGAGCTGCGCGGGATGTGGCCGTTGGTGTTGCTGTTGGCGGGGGTCGCCGCCGCGGGGGAGGCTGAAATCCCCCCGCACGAGGACGTGGCTCGGGTCGCTCGCTTCGTGGCGCACGCATGCGACTGGGGCGCGCTGGCTACGCTGTCCGCGCAGGTCCCGCCGATGCGCGGCCAGCCCTTCGCCAACGTCTTCTCGGTCAGCGACGGGCCGCCGGGGCCGCGAGGCAGCGGGGTGCCATATATGTACTTGACGGCGCTTGAGATCTCTGTGCAGGATTTGCAGGTGAGCGGGTGGCTGCAGGGGAGGGGGAAAGGTGGTTTGCAACAGTAAAGCCTCTAGATGTCGACCGGATTCAGACCACACTCAGAGGTCGTTGTTCTTGTCCGAATCCAGCTGAGATAACACACCAGGATGAACAGCCCATGGGGTACAACACAGCCATAAACCATGGATTCTCTATTTGGGGTGTTTGTGGTCATTGGCTCAAAAGAAAGCTTTGTGACCGAGTAGAGATTTGAACCCAGGCCCTGCAACTTAGGATCAATTTAGATGTAGCATGGGAGAACTGTAAATAAGATTTCTTGTATTTTTAAAAGGTCTTAACAGATGAGGATAGATGGCAGTTGTAGCAGTAAAGGTTTTTAACTTGCTTCCCTATGCTATTTTGCAATTGAAATTGGAAATATACATTCTAAATAGTAGTGTCTGGGACCATTTTTAAATAAAGTAACCGCTGGAGGTGCAATCTCCTCTTTCAGTACCAAGGACCAAAACCAAACCTCTGCAGAATCTATACCTATTCTTATAAACAATATTTTGAAAAACCTCAGGAGATCCTATTCTTAGATCTCTTTTATCACATCTAGTTTTGCCTTCATTCATCTCTGTACCCACAATGCCATATGGTAATACTTGTATGTGAAAAGTGTGTGTATTCGGACTGTTGTGGCATACTGAGTATATAAGGTGATGGCTTTCCACCTTGTTAAATTTCCGGCAAATATGTATGGCAGTGCTGACTTGAACTAAATCCAACCTGATTGCTCTTGAAGGTGTCCCAAGACTTGCCAAATTCAGTGTTAGATTCTTTTCTGGTGACTGGCAGTCAAATTGTTATAATGGAGTAGCAAAGATGTTGTGTTGCTTAAGGTAATTAGGTATGACAATGGATATGAACTTGCATTCATTTATCATGACTGAGCTGTTAGTAAAATCTAACCCTCAACTATAAATTGGCCACTCTGCATTATTCAGTCCGTGACATGCATCCTGTTGGCAGGCGATGTGAAAGCTACTTGCTGGAAACCCTGGAGTTACTGCCAGTCAGAGTAGGAATACTGGGCTGGATGGGCATACAGTTTTGCCACAGATTCTTATGCTTCTTCCCTAGACTTTCTTCAGCTAGTGCAGGTTGTGACAGATTTACTTAAAGGAAACATATCCCTGAATGGGGTTGATTCAGGTGCCCTTGCTCCAGATGTAGTCTCTCTGAGGATTACATTGAAAACTAAACTGAAGCCCTCTCCTTGGAAAGCAGCTTTGAAATCAAACCAGCCAACAAACCTTAAGCTGAAGCGTGTAGTGAAAAATACTGTATATAGGGTTATAGTGGTCACCAGAACAATTTAAAATGTCTGGGCAAATGTCTGGTGTTGGTGGTGTAATAGTCCACAGGTTATTTTGGTATATATCTTATGGAGTTGCTTGCTCAGCAGTGATTTGCTTCTTCAGTGAGGCCTTAACAGGATCAGAACGATCTTCGAAACCTCACTGAAGGTTCAAATAACCATGCCCGAGAGTGGGCAAATGGGACTTCCCAGAATGATGGTTCAATGTAGTCTGCAAAACTGGAGACCAATTCAAACCCAACAAGTACACAATTAGTCAAAGATTAGATTGATCCATGTAAAAACATAACTCCATTTTGTTAAATAAATTCCAATCAATCTGAGAGCACTTCCTTGAATAACATATGGATAATTGTTGCCCATTGGAAGATATCTTCTGGAGAGCCATAAAAAGACATGGATGGCACTGAATCTCCTTTTACTTATATCTTAAACTTTTCTATGTATGATTCTATTTATATTCTCAATCTTTGGCTTCTAAATACAGAAATTTATGAGGTGCAGAGGAAATGGAGGGGGGAGGGGGAAATGAAATGAAAAAGAAATCCAAGCGGCATTTTAACTGTTAACATTATTGGTTTTATCTGGCCAGGGCGGCTTATTTTATACTGTACTGCTGTATTTTAATTTTATATTTATATTTTAATTTATATTATAATTATTTTAATTTATTGATGTGAGCCGCCCCGAGGCTTCGGCGAATGGGGCGGCATAAAAATGTTTTAATAAATAAAAAAATAAATAAATAATCATCATCAATTAAACATTATGTCTGTCTATGGTTTACCATTTTTACCATTTACCATTTTTAATATTCCTTTTAGCTTTACTGTAGTACACTTAGAGCTTTAGTTTTGTAATGTATGTTTTCAAAGAACAGAAGCCAGTCAGCCAAGCTAGGACAATGTGACGCAATATGGAAGGAGTTATGGATAGAAGCATTTTTAATCTCCTATCATGAACATCACAGAGGAACTGATTTCCTGGCCTTTTAAAGAATGCAGGAAGTCTGTGACAGCTTTAATCAGCCTCTTGCTACACTGTATGCCATTTGTGAAAGCCTTTATTACTGGGAAATCAGGCAGGTCCTACAAGTACTTCACAAGTACTGGGATAGTTTGCAATTGGATAGTCCTTCTGAAATTTAGAAGTGCCTTGTAGAAATAAAGTTAGCAATTATATGAATTGACATTTTTTGGCCACTTCAGAAATGTGAAAACTGACATTTGAATAGAGAATATTGATATAATTTACAAGCAGATATAAAAATATTTTAAAGCTGATACACTTGTTTATCATGTGAGATCTTCAGAGGCTTTCACCTGCTCAAGAGAAGCAGAGAGGGACATGTTTATGGTAGCACCCAGATATGGAGCTCTTTCCCTAAAACCAATCATGGGCTATTCTCATCAAGCTGATTTCTCATAATTTAAATAGCAATAAATGTTGATCTGCTTTTTAATTTGTTTTGATCTATTTATTTGCTGTGGTGTTTGTTTATTGTTACATCTTTTATGCTAATATAAGTGTCTTAAGGAATGAAATGAGAGGAAGGTGCAACATGACTGGATTTGCACAATTAAAACAACCTCCTGCAGCTTAATCACCACCTGGTCACAACATGTTCTGGGCAGGCCATGAGCAGAGCAAGTCACTTTGGCATGTTTTCATTGTGTGAGCCATCCGTATAAATCTTCCAGCAATCCACAATAATAAATAATAATTTATTTATGTAAGCCGTCCTGAGGCCTTCGCGACAGGATGGCATATAAATATTCTAAATAAATAAACAAATGATCAGTTCTTAGAATTCCAGGGAGTAATAGATTTAGATTGTATAAAAGGGAAAGATGCTTGGGTACAAGCGCGCGCACACTTTGGAAGCTGGGCATAGTTTCCAGACACACAATTTTGCATGCTGGAATCAACATTGTGGAAATAAAAGAGCTAGAAGAAACCTGAAAGGTCTACATTCTAATTGTTGTGTAAACCCCCTTGTATCAGTCCCAAGAAACAGACATATTTATGAAAGTAAAGAAACAAGCAGTCAAAATTTTTAAAGAGTAATGATACTTCTTAGTTAAAATGTGGGAAAATAAATCCAGGCTGTCTTAAGAGGCAGATCTGGAGCTTCCCATTAACCTTTCCCCACAGTTTTTCATAAATGAAAAGCATGTCTTTTGAATTCCTAACCATGTTCTGCTGTCATTGACTTGAATTTGAAAACCTCATGGAAAGCTAAATGCAGGTAATATGACATCTGTGTTCTGCCACATCTGTGCAGCCTCTGTATAAAAGACAAATTCTAGACCGATGTGGCATGATCAGTTTGTTAGCAGAATTATGACTTCCAGTGTGGTGTGGCAGTAGGAGTGTTGGACTGGGGACGTGAAAGATCCTGATTTCTAGTTCCCACTTGGCCATGAAGCTCACTGGCTAAGATTGGGCCACTCACAAACTCTCAGCCCAACCAACCTCGTAAGGTTGTTGTGAGGATAAATTGGAGCTATGTATGCTACCCTGAGTTCCTCACAAGAGGAAAACAGTGAAATATAAATGCAGTGTAGTAGTAGTACTAATAATAAATATTCTATTTTCATCTAGGAAGTTGTGGATTAATTCCTCTAGTATTTGTTTTACAAATCCCTGAATATTAAAGTTGTAGACAGGATGCCAATCTTCCTCCTCTTAATCTTAAAAAAAAATTCAGTGTGTAAACTGCCCAGAGAGACTTCAGCCTATGGCATGCTACAGAAGTGCAATAAATAAATAAATATATAAATTTTACTTTCACAATCTTATCCTCACAACAACAACCCTGTGAGATAGATTCGGTTGAGAGTCTGTGACTGGCCCAAAGTCGCCCAGTTGGCTCCATGGCTGAGTGGGGACAAGAACCCAGTTCTCCTGAGTCCCAGTCCTGCACGCTTAACCACTATACCACACTGCCTCTCAGAAGCTTGCACACTATTCTGTGAGAGTTTGGTTGATTCTAAGAAAAGTATTGACTTCAAAGGCATTCTGTTCCATTGTCAGGCAGCTTGTGTGTTCAGGAAGTTCTTCCTATTTATCTGATCTCCTTTCTTGAACTTGAACTTAACTCCTGGAGCTGCACAAAACAAATTTGTTCCACCATCCATGTAACAGGCCTTCAGGTATTTGAAGATGGTGCTTATGAGAAAGAATTCAATCATGCCTCTGCTACAGCATAATTCATGTTGTGCTAGCAGAAAAAGCTGCATGTGCAACAGCAGTAGTGCCTGTTATTAGCAAGAACATTTTCTGGGAAACCTACTGTGCTAGCAAGTGCTATTGATGTTGTGCAAGCAATGATTTATGCTAGTGCAAGTTTCCCCATATCACCTGTGAATTGTGTCATCTTTAGGCTAAACATGCCCATCTCTTACAGACTTTTGACAAAGGGCTTGGCCTTAGTTCTGGTACTAGTTTTCTTAACTTCTCAGTACATTTGCTCTTCTGAGGCTGAATGTCAATTATTACTTTTCAGAGTGAGTTTCTCTTGTATAATTTGAAAAAAGTCAAGATCCACCTGAAGAAACCTTTCAGTTTTTGATATGGTTTCATATGCAATATTGCTATGCTTACTCAGTAACTTCTTTTAAGAAAGGGGAAGAAGTATCTCAAAAACTGCTGTCTTATCTCAGCAGTGTAGCAGACAGCTGTATAGTTTACCATCACACGGAGACATCTGCTTGCAGAAAATATGCCAAATAATTGTGATTCAGCAGTTTCTTGATATTGAGTAATATGACAGTTTTCCACTGTCAGCAGTATGTCTTAATAGTGTTCAAATAAGAGATGTTTAGTCTATGCTTAAATCATGTGCTTCTGAAGTTTACTTCACCCTTTCCTTCAGATAAACTAGTTTGAGATAATTTTCCAAGAGGTCACTGAACACATCATCCTGGGTTTCTAAAAGGAAGAAAAGACCAGTGTCGATATCACGCGACACTCATGAGCTTGCTATGTGACCAAGAGTTTCAAAGGTCAAAGTGCAAGACACCCAACTGGACACATGCTGTCAACACGGTGCCCAACTTCATCCGTGTCAAGATTTTTTCACATCTTCGCTGAATCTCAAACATTTATAAAATCAATTTTGCTACTTTTATTTCAGGTGAATGCAAATGCCTCCCTGACCATGTCCTTAGCACAGACATATTACTGCAAGAAGAAAGGCTATGATCCTCAGAGTCCTCTCTGTGCCCATGTCATCTTCTCTGGAATAGTTGAAAAGGTAAACTAATACTTGTACTTATCACAAGAACATTGTAATGCACATGCACCCAATCCCTGACTTGCAACACACTGGCTCAAAATTAGAATGGTTTCATAGCAGGTATCTGAAATATACAGTACTTGCTTATTTATTTCCTTAGCAGTGCATATTTAGTGGAGGGGAGGGGACATATTAGAACTTTAGAGACAATGTTCTTCATTGCACAGCTCAAGGGATGCAGATGACTCCCAAACACCTCAAGTATGGGCCTCCACTTCTCTGTCTGTCCATTTCTCTGTGCAGGAGGTGTTCACCCTCAGTAGAGTCTCTGTGTTTGGTTTAGTGGCCATCTGACTGTTGTGATTTGGGTTACCAGGGATGGGGAGGCAGGGACCTGCTCTTTGTCTGCATCAGGGTTTGGAGATCTTTGGCTCTTGGATGGTATAGAAATAAATAAGGTGGCTGTGGATTTATGGTGGGCTGAGGAAGAAAACAAAGGGGCAAACATCTGGTATGAACCTGTCCCAAAACTACACCTATTACCCTGAGACCCTCCTCTAGGTGCCTTCTGTGATGGTGGTTTGGAGAATGGCAACAAAGGAGAAGGCCTTCTCAGTGGTAGCCACCCATTTGTGCAGTGTTCTCACAGAGATCTGTCTGGTGCTAACATCAGTATCCCATTAGTGCCAGATTAAGACTTTAATGTATTCCCAGGCATTCAAACACCTAATGAGAAGGAAGGACTCCCTGGAGAAGAGCCTAATGCTGGGAACAATAGATGGCAAAAGAAGAAGGGGATGGCAGAGGATGAGGTGGCTAGATGGAGTCACTGAAGCAGTTGGTGTGAGCTTAAGTGGACTCCGGGGGATGGTGGAGGACAGGAAGACCTGGAGGATTGTTGTCCATGGGGTCGCGATGGACACGACTTCGCGACTAACAACGACAAGGCATTCAAATTGGCCTCAGTGGCTATGCCTGAAGGCAGGGGCATTGCTTGATCTGGGCCCATTGGGGCACAGCCCTGAATCTATTTTCCAGGGCCCAGGATCTATTTCCAAGAACCCTGAGTGTCCATTGATGGCAATAGAACATTAGTTTAATTGCCATATGGGAAGATTTTTAAGGAGGATCACAAAGGCGGATGCCTCCATGATGGAACAACTCCCACCTCATTCCACATGGCAATTAAGATTAGAGACAAACTTGTAAGGGTGCTGATTGAAGTTTTTCTTCTAAATTCAAATACAAGACAGAGGGGCACTTCTTCTCCTGGAGAATTTGGGAGAGGGAAATCAAAAGAGAGACACCAAGATGGCCTTGTCTTCTGCAAAAATGAAATAAATCCTAGTAATTCTAAATTGTGTGTACACACAAAAATTAGCATATGCAAGTTTTATGCAGATTTGTGCCCCCAGGGCCTGGGTCCCAAACTTTTGAAGTGTCTAGCAACACCCCTGTCTGCAGCTGAACATAGGCAAACATATAAAGAACATAATACAATGTTTGATGCTGTCATTTGTTTTTTAATTTTGGAAATTGGGAAACATCACATCACTGTGTTTTCATGTTTGTTTCCTAATATCATGAAGAGTACAAACTGAGCAGATACTAGACAGATTTTTCCCTTGGGCAAATCTTATCATGGTTAGAGATAAAATATGGGTTGCTGGACCATGTACTTCCATTTAAAATATGGATAATTTTAAATGCTGAGTTAGGAGAACCTCAGGGCTGAAGTTATAGTGATGTTCAGCAAATCCAGTTAAAAGCAGCAGAAGGAATTTGCACACGAGAGAAGGGGTTGAATAAAGGAATCTTTATTCAGAAGTAAATTCCACTGTATTAAGTTGGGTTCACTCCCAGGTAAGTAGCTTAGATTACATTATTGTGCTGGATAAAGACAGATTGATTACCACCACCACCCTCACTTAGGGTATGTAGGAACAATGACCAGGATCTGAAGAACTAGAGAATTAGCTCCATAAGGCTAAGATTGCTTGAGCCTCAAATGCTTCCATCTTTGCCATATGTAAAACTGTTTTTGCCACAAACCTGGTTAGTGGTGCAACTATAGGGCTGTGTGGATCAAATAAGAAAGAAGAAGGCCCACAGTTCCATGATTACAGTAAGCCAAGTAGCTGAACCCAAATAGTACTTTCGGTTTGGGCCATCTTCACCCATATTGATGGTGCTGGCAGGCAAGGGCAGAGAACTGGGAGAATACTGTGTTGAGCTACCTTGTCTACCAAACAGTAAAGCCAGTTACCCATTTCTTAGGTTCAGAATGTTACTGAAGCAGACTTTGCAAAGACAGCCTTGTTCAGCAGACACCCTGAAATGGCAACCTGGCCGCGAGATCACAACTGGTTCTTTGCAAAATTCAACATCACCAACATCTGGGTCTTAGACTACTTTGGGGGAATCAAAGCTGTGACTCCGCAAGAATATTTTAATGCCACACCCTAGTAAGTATGCTGCTTTGTTACATTATTTTCAGGAGCTTGATTTTCAACAGTTGGTTTTGCATCTTTGTAACACTCTTTTGAGGGAGAAGGCTTGAATTCTTTGGATAATCTCATCAGAAGCGCTTGTAACGTGATTTGGGCTGCAGTCTTCTATCCATCAACCTGGGAATAAGCCTCATTGAACTTAGTGAGATTTACTTTTGAGTAGACTTGTATAGAAGCTCATTGTTAATATTTGAAGAAGGAGGCAAGAAGCATAAGGAAATCAGGCAGAACATGTCAAGATGTTTGAAGGAGCAGGGTACTTCCAAGTAGCTGAGGATGGTAGAGCTGCCAGAGTTTCTGGCTGGACTGTATCAAGAAACAGCAAAGAGAAAGAGGGGGGACAATGCTATGGAGGGATGTGAAATAAGGGTCAGAATTTTGAGTGGAAGCCAGTGCTGGAAACTTGGGAGGGTATCACATGAACAGAGTAACAAAAAAGTGATTATGGCAGTAAAGTACTATACAGAAGCAAAGAGATCAAGGTGACTCAAGAGAGGAGAAAAAATTCCTGTGCATGAACCAGAGTTTTTCAGGCGCAGCGAGCATGGGAGTAATGAAATGGGGTATGACTTGGTGATGGATTGCATACAGGTTGAATATAGAAGAAAGAGAGAACTCAAAAAAAAGACAAGGTTTCTGGCCTGTTCAAGAAGAGATGCTGTGATGTCAATGGATAAAGAAAGTAAGTAGGAGAGCAGGGCTGGAGAATAAAGATGTGATGGTTGGTCTTTGATAGCCTGAGTTTTAGATACAATGAGGTATTCAAGAGGAGATATTGTGCAGGAAGTTGGAGGAAGAAGGTTCTGAGGCACAGAAGTAGAACTGAAAGGTATGACCTTGGAAGAAGTTGCCCAGAGAGAGTGTGTATAGAAAATATACTGAATGGAAAAGAACAGATTTGTCTGGAAAGCCAGACAAGCATGGGCAATTTGTGGTCTTCCATGTGTTTTAGCCCATCACTCCCATCATCCTTCACCATTGGCTGTACTGGCTAAAGCTGATGGTGGTTGTAGGACAAAACATCTGGAGGGCTACAGGGCTACAAGATCATAATTAAATCCATTAAAAGGGGAATTCAGTGAGCTCAGCTTCGGTTGGGATTGTTCCTATTGTTTTAAGACATTATCTAAAATTAGGCTGCTTTTCCATCAAGTATACTATTGTTTCCATTGGTGATGGCTTTCCATGTTCTTGGGGAAAGTTCTTTCCCAGCCTTGCCAGCAGTGATTCTATTAATTGAAGATTCAACCAGGACCCTTCTACATTGAACCAGGGCCCTTCTACATAGAAAGCATGTATTCTCTCATCTAGCTGTGGCCTCTTCTTCCATGTGAAGCAGAGGCCTGCATAAAGAAGTACTAAAATGTTTAGACTGTACCTCTTGCATCCTAATTTAATTATTTTTCTTTTTTTCCCCCTTATTTATAGGTAAGGACTTTTTGGAGTAAATCCACATCCAGTCACTTTTTGTTGGCCATTCTTCTAATAAGAAAGCATGGACATTACTAGGAGTGAGATAACATTGCAGAACCTCAAATGTGCAATGCCTTTAAAATCCCAACTGCTTATATGGCATGTAGCTTTAAAATCATGCCAAGAAAATTGTGCCAAGAAAACATAATTCTGTGTGCTCAGGACTTTGGAATATGCAGTTCTGCACAATTCCTTGTACTTTCAGATATTGTTCTTTTAAAGAATGGATGGATTGTTTTTCAGCAAGCATAGACTTGAGAAAAATATAGCTTAAGGGAACATCCCTAAAACAGGTAGAACTAAAATTCAGAGGATGAGAGACACAATGGGAAAAAGTGACAAATTCTGAACCCAGTGAGAAGAATTCAGTGGGATGATGTAACTTAATGTCCTGCAATAACAGGGGGTTGGAACCAGTGGTTTTCTGGCCCCTTCCAACTTTATGATTCTATGAATTAATCCCAAAATATTCCAGTATATTGTAGATCCTGATACATAGTTTCACCTGTCACAACTTCAATCCAGTCAATGCTCTACTATCCATTGGGTGATTGCTATCATCAGAGTCAACACTCCTAAGAGAAATGAGCTGGCGGCCCTGATCCAGTGAAGATCAACATGTGTGTGGTGCACATACCACATCATAGGGCAAAGCAATATGTATGGGGGAAATGAAGGGCCAAACAGTATGACTGTGGCAGTTTGGAGAAGCCTCCTCAGTCATGTAGAAAGAGGATGGGCCAGAATCTGATCTTAATAGCAAAGTGAGCACATGAATCAGTGCACTGAATCTTCTTTCTGTGCATGATTTACCTCCATCTAGCACCTCAGTAGAGTTTTCTAGTATAGGGGCTTAGCAGAGCAGAGGTGCTCCTGGGGTATAGGCTACATAAAGATAGGTAAAGGAGAGCCCTCTAATCTTCAGGCATGTGTCCTGTTTGCCAATAAAGTGGGACTTCATGGGTCTCTTCTTTTGATGTGATAGTTTACACACACAGCTATCCTAATCACATCTAATTTGCCCCTGATCTTACATTTCTGGGTGACCCAATAGCCAAAATGCTCTTATTTACAAAACAAGACTTAAAATTATAGAATACAATAGCATAATGGAGAATGGAGGAGGAGAGGATGTAAGCTACCTTGAGCCCTTTGTAGGAAAAAGGCAGGATTTAAATAAAATAAATAAATAAATAAATAATAAAACATAATACAAATACATTTAAAAATTAAAATGGAATAGAACTAGAGTAATAACTAAAAGGCAAAGTGTGAGACTCTTAAGTGTAATTCTTTTTTAAATTGAAAGACTACAAAACTCTTTAAGTTAGAGTTTTAGTGATATGCACTTCTATGCCTCTTGTCTCTACAAACTCTGAAGACTGGTTAAGATCTTTCATGTCAATTCCATCCTATATCATTATTTTGAATATCCATGAAATTTCGGAGCTGAAATAAGAAGCTGATGTAGTATGCCTATCTGGTGCCTATTAAGTGTACTTAGAGCCAATGCCCATGGAATTCTGACCCAAGATTAAAGCAAGTTGGGGAGGAAAAGTCATGACAGAGCCTGGGGGATGTTTCTAATCTCTTAACTATTGTTCAGAATTTAAAAATAATCTAACTGCACTTGGCTGAATTTGCCTAAAACAGGTACTAAAGCAGATGAGTACTTGCACACTTTTTAAATCAACAAAATACAAACATTGTATTCTAAGGGGTGTTTCTGTGTGTAAGATTCATACAGCCTGTTGGAAGAAAGCTTGGATTGACACAAATATATTTGCAGTGAGACAAGGCTCCTTGCTAACTATTTTTGAGAATGTTTTGTTAATACTGGACACTCACTGTGTATTAACTGAGGAACTACTTACTCACAAGGAGGTGGGAAGAACCCCATTATTACAATCCTTTATATGTCTGCACAGAAGCCCATTTGTTGGTACTTGTTCAGGTACCTTTCTATTACCTTGGTTAAACAAGTATGTAAGTTGTGCATGTTTATTTTGAAGTAAAATTTATTGATTCCTCAAATCAGCTTTATCTACCTCTATAGAATATTTTTTTAATCTGGACAAATTGTAGAATTGTTTTTGCAAATGGAAAATCTAGAGTCTGTAATAAATCAATAGTTCAACCATATAGAAATAAACTATTCTTGGAATAAAGTTGTTCTGTGTTCTTATATAATTTGTCTTTAATATGAGCTGGTCTAAGGACAGAATTTCTATCAGAATAAATTATCAGAGGGCCCACAAAAATGTTTATGAATCTGCAATGTATGGCATACTTCCAAAATCTGATGCCAACCATGCGTTTTTAAATAATTACTTGCATATTTTATTGTGAGACTGAAATCTGTTAAGGAATATACAATACTTGCTGGATTTGGTGGTGCTTTTCCTAGTTACTGTATGCATCTGACATTAGTCATGTCAGCACAGCTTTTGTCTTGTTTTCTTTTTCCAGTTGTATGAAGTAGTTAATTCCTTTCAGGGAAGCCTAATCTGGCTGAAACACTCTCTTTTACCCAAACAACCATCTTGGTTTCATATTCAGTTACCTGGAATAGTGGAGGCAAGGGAACAAAATCAGCAAAGGGCAGCCTGATAAATACTTCTAAAAGCTTCCATGAAACACTTCTTGGAGCATCAAATTCTGCTTTTAAAACATGCCACAGTAGAATATATTTACTAGTTTAATGTACCAGAATTGGCCAGCTGCTACAATTAATGAGCGCAGCCCTGACTGAGAAGAATGGGATGAGTTGCTGCTTTTTCCTTTCACTGTTCAAGTAAGGTTCCTTTGCAACTGGTTTATGGACCACCAAGGCCTTCAGGTGAATCATTAGCACTTAACAATAGCTATGCTGACATTTCCCTTTCCTGCTCTCCTGCAGTCTAAGCAAAATGGCCATCATTGTAAGGGACAAGTAGGAGTAATGAAGGAGGCAGATACTGCAAGAAGTCTTGTGTAGGCACAACTTGGCTTTGTACAAAAAGATGGACTTTGTCTATCCACAGTCACTCAATGAAGATTGAGCCATCAGTTGTTAGTTGGGAGGCGACAAGATTTGCCCCTATGGTAAGAGTATTCTCAAGAGTGTTCTTTCCCTTAGGTGTGAAGTAGATGCACGAGGATGCTATTGGTATTGTTCTTTCAGGTTTGCTGCCTTTCCCTGCTTGCTTCTGCCCCTGCCCTCAGGTACCCAATTGCTTCGTGGATGGAAGCCCCATGTTTGCATTTCCCACTATTTATGCACCTATGTCACAATGAGCAGTCATAAGTCACAAACTGCACTTAGTCTCCTCATAGATAATGTTCATTTGCCTACCAATGCCTGTTTTTGATCCAATGAGAAACAGATTTAAAAGGAAAGGAAAATTGCAGAGTAGTAGAGATGTGTAACAAGAATGTTGGAAATATTTCATAACTGTAATATCATGATTGAACAGCAGAGGGTGCCATATACTGTGCATTTTGCTTGATGAACTACATTTTCCAATGTACTAGGCACATATTCTACCTGAGAAACTACGGAATCCAGGATGCTTGGGCCTTCCTGCTTTAAGGTGTGGATGATAAATGCTTTGTTTTGCTAATCTTTACTGAAGCTATTGGCCAATCCATATTCTTAATTTTATTAAGTTTATGGAGTTCAGTACAATGCAAATGAACAAATTTTACTTCCTTTGGGAACTTCTGAAACTCATACAATACACAACAGGCTTCCCACCTACCTTACACACCCCCACACCTTACAAGTACTCTGAATAATGCCAAAGTTATTAGTAGTTCCTAGTTCCTTGCTTATGCAAAATTTCTAAATGGAGCTCAGTGAAATGTATATAAACTTCTGGACCTCAACCCAAGTTTATGACTATACATTATTATCATCATCATCATCATCATCATCATCATCATCATCATCATCATCATTATTATTAGAACATTTCTATGCCGCCCCTTGCCGAAGCCTCGGGGCGGCTTACAAACACAATAAAATACAATAAAATACAAAAATAACTATAAAATTAAAATTAACAATATAAAATAAATAAAAATATAAAATATAAAAGAAGTCGCCCTGGCCAGATAAATAAGCAAATATTGTTAACAATTAAAGTGACGTTTAAATAAAAAGGTCTTCACCTGGCGCCGAAAAACAAGTAACGACGGCGCCAGGCAGACCTCTCTGGGGAGCGCATTCCATAGATTGGGCACCACTGCAGAGAAAGCCCTCCTCCAAGTACCTACCCTCCTAATTTCTTTCATGGAGGGTTCCCGGAGAAGGGCCTCTCCCGCAGATCTTAAGGGGCGGCCGGGCATATATGGATGTAAGCGCTCCTTCAGGTAACCAGGACCCAAGCCGTTTAGGGCTTTATAGGTCATAACTAACACCTTGAATTGGGCCCGGACTTCAATGGGAAGCCAGTGAAGCTGACGGAGGACTGGAGTCATGTGAACATAACACCCTGTCCCCGTCAGCAACCTGGCAGCTCTATTTTGAACCAATTGAAGTATCCGGACCGTCTTCAAGGGAAGCCCCACGTAAAGTGCGTTACAGAAGTCAAGGCGGGAAGTCACCAGAGCATGTGTTACCGTTGCCAGGCAGTCGTACTCCAGGTAGGGGCGCAGCTGATTAATCAGCCGAAGCTGAAGGAAAGCGCTCCTCGCCACCGCTGTCACCTGAGCTTCCAATGAAAGCTCTGGGTCGAGGAGTACTCCTAAGCTGCGGACCTTGTCCCTAAGAGGGAGTGCAACCCCATTCAGAACCAGGTCAAATCCACCCTCTCCGAAGCCCGATCCGTCAACCAACAGGACCTCCGTCTTGTCTGGATTGAGCTTCAGTTTATTGGCCCTCATCCAGCCCATTAGCTCGGCCAAGCACCGGTTCAGCACAGCCACTGCCTCACCTGGATTGGTGGAAAACGAGAGGTAGAGCTGGGTATCATCAGCGTACTGATGATTCCACAGCCCACACCTCCTGATGACCTCTCCCAGCGGTTTCATGTAGATGTTAAACAGCAAAGGGGACAAAATGGAGCCCTGTGGTACTCCATGGCATAGCTGCCATGGCACAGAGCCATAGTCCCCCAGCACTACCTTCTGGAATCGGCCGTTGAGATAGGAGCGGAACCACTGCAAAGCAGTGCCTCCGACCCCCAGTCCCGCTAGCCTATCCAGAAGGATACCATGGTCGATGGTATCAAAAGCCGCTGAGAGGTCCAGAATAACCAACAGGGACGCACTCCCCCTGTCCTTCTCCCTGCACAGGTCATCGTACAGGGCGACCAAAGCAGATTCAGTACCGTATCTGGGTCTGAAGCCAGACTGAAATGGGTCCAGATAATCAGTTTCATCCAAGAGTGCTTGGAGTTGTCCCGCCACCACCCGCTCCAACTCCTTGCCCAGAAACGGGATGTTGGCCACAGGTCTATAGTTAGTGGCCATCTCTGGATCCAGTGACGCTTTCTTCAGGACCGGTCGGACTACTGCCTCCTTTAAAGGGGCAGGCACCCGACCCTCCCTCAGAGAAGCGTTAACCACTTCCAAGATCCAGATTGGTGGTTGGGAGACTCTTCTTCAATGTAAACAATAATTCAGTGAAAACTGGCATTTTTACATTTGCAGAAAGCTGTCAATGCCATCTGTGAGAAGAGATTCATTTATTTATATGTATGATATAGGTGATCCAAAACTTGAATGTAGATGACACCCGCACGCATGGGTTCCTAATCTGTAACAATCCAGGATAATCACATATTAATGTCCATTGCTTTAATCTCTTTTAATTTGAGATAATTGCTGTATTTCTTGAGGGGGATAGTTTCCCAGCCATGTATATAGATGAGGTTGGATGCAGGATCTGCTTTTCTCAAGAGGAAAAGCTTCACTTATGGGCCATGTTTTGGATCCCCTGGCACAGCTGATCCCATTCAGCAGGGTCTTGTGACTGTTAGGAAGAACCTTCATAGAATGCAGTACCTTGGGTATCAGTCAGGACTAGTGGGATCTGCAGCAAAACATTTGTAGTGTGGAATCCAGTTCTGTTTTTCAGACACTCAGCTGGTCATGCATCTTTCTGGGTTCCTCCATTTCATATCCGGCTCAGTATTTTGTATCTACTAAGCATGCTGAGCCCCAATTATATTCTGAAGATTATGTAGTTTTCCAAATCATGGGATTCCCCTCAAATTTGCTGATCCCACCCTGGTGCCTTTAGGGTAGAGTGGCACTCAGAACTAGGTTTTGCTATTGGTTTATACAAAATAGGGCCCTAATATAAAATCTTTGGTGTGAGGGAAATTTTGAAAGTGCTGGTCAGACTCCTGGCTGGGAAGAGTAAGCCTTAATACTGCAGCTTCAAAGATGTGAGGATGAAGCTGCAGTCTTATCCTGAATCCCAGCTATGACTTGGCTAACAGTCTTTCTGGACACATACAGTCAAACCTCCACACTTGCTGTGGTTAGAGGCCCAGGGCCCTCGTGAAAGTGGAAACACTGTATAGCTCTAGCTCACCTAACCCCAAGCTTAATACTTTTGATCAATACATGCACTGGATTGCTTCTCTCTCTCCCCCCTGCCACTCCCCCCTCCTTACTTTGTTGATGTGTACACTTACCAGTTAATTGAAATTTTACCTTTAAAAATTCCACTCACCTTATGCCTGTTTGAGGATGAGATTAGGCTCATACCCATGATTACAGTTAATACCTTATTGCACTTTAAAGATGCAAACAGTTGTGAGTAATGCAAGGCTTACTGCACACCCAGAGACAAAACATGTGAGTGAGGCTGGCTAGCATCAAGACAAAGAGCATGTCCTCCCTAAACAGAGTACACAGTCCACAGTTCTTTAGTGCACTGAAACTTTCTACAAAAATTAACTTTTTAATAATAAATTTGGGTATAAATGTATTGTAGTAAGTGATGAAATAGATTTATTAATAAAATCATTAATACCTTTTTTAGTTTCCTTTACATTCCACACTAGAGTCATTCAAGATGCAATTAGTTATCTGAGTGGAATGGTGTAATGGGCATTCTGCACCAGGTTGGATTTGATGGCCTTCTTGGCCCCTTCCAACCCATTACTCTATGAGTCTAGTCTTAAGTGCATTGTCTACAATTTTCCACAGTAGGCCACAAAACTCCAAAAACCCC